TATAGAACTAAAATTCATCTCTCAGAAACGTGGGGGCTGCAAACTTTCCTGCTAGAAACACAAACACTTTGGAGAGAAAATGCTGGATGACAAGAGAAATAGCACTGCAAAAAGCAACAGTTCTTCAGAGATGTTCATTTACTGTCCAGTCTTCATGTGCTGATTAACACCAGCAGCATCTTCAATACTGCAGCTCCCTATGGTGCTCTGCATTCATGTGCCACGTTTCTTTGTCATTTATCTTTGCAGATGTGGACATAGCAGCAGTAGAAGGGGAAATGCCTTTGCTAAGGTCACTGAGCAGATGTGGGAATTGGGAACAGAAGGTGGTTTTTCTGATACTATAAAGCAGGCCAAGGCAAGGAATTTCAACCAAGGTCCTTCGGATGGCTTTGGGGGAGATGGCACAGCAACTGGACTTAACAAGCCCAGATCTCTCCATCTGTCTCCATAGGAAAGGTGTCTCAGCCCTGTGATCACCTTCACAGTCCTCCTCAGGACACACTCCAACATTCTTTCCTTTGCTGGGGACTCCAAACCTGGACTCAGTAATCCGCATGAGTCTTCACTAGGGCAGAATAGACAAGGACTATGTCCTCCCTCACCATGCTGGCCACCTTTCTGTTGATGCAGTCCAGCATACTGTAGACTTTTAGGCTGCAAGAGCACACTGCTGGCTCATGCCCACCTTTTCATTCACCAGAACCCCATCTGTATAGGGCTGCTTTCAATGAGTTCTTCTAGTCTGTACTCATACCTGGGACTGCCTTGACTCAAGTGCAAAACCCTGTACTTGACCTTGCTGTACCTCCTTAGATTCTTGTGAGCCCGCTTTTTCAAATCTTGCCAGGTCTTTCTGGATCAGCATCCCATCCTTCTGTTGCATCAGCTGCACCACTCAGATCGATGCCATCTCCACACTTGCTGAGGGTGCACTCAATCCCATCATCCATGTAACTGATCAAGATACTGAAGAGTACCGGTCCCAAGAAGGACTCCTGGAGGACAGCACTTGTCACCAGCCTCCACCTGGACACAGAGCCACTGACCACAACCCTATGGCTGTGCCCGTCCAATCAGTTCTTTATCCACTGAATAGTTCACCCTTCGAATCCATTTCTGTTCAATTTAGAGATAAGGACGTGGTGTGGGACCATGTTAAAGGTCTGTGTCATCCAAAGTCCAAATCTTTTCAACTACTGGAATATCATAAGCTTTGCAGTTTCTTCCCAGACATTACTTAGTACAAGTCTTTGGAAGGAAGCTTTGTGCAAAATTTACATATGTATCTACAGAGGTTTACTTTGATATACAATTGAGGCTGTCTAAAACACACAGAACATTTATTCTGCCAGAGGCAGTTTTACTAGTATAAATTTCATCCAACTTGCATGAATGGAAAAGATTCTCAGATGGATCTTTGAGGTGTTTTTGTATCACCTCCAAGGTGCTGCTGTTCAGTTTCATGTGTGTGTTTTTAATTATATTTATTTTTTTTAATTCAAAGCTGACACATGAATGTTTTGGACCATCAGTGAAACTATGATGAAGTAAAGAAGGTGGAGAAGCTCTATTACCTTCCCTGCTAGAGACTCTGTGGGATGGAGTCTGGAAGGACGGATCCTGTGCTGTTGAACAGCTAACTTTAGGAGCTCAAAACTAGATTTTTGGCACAAATTATGGGAAGAAACTTGAGCACAGAGAAGCTAGCAGATACTTCTCAGCTTCTCAGCAGGAAAGCAGTATTCAGATGTCTCATCAAGCACAGGGATATTTTTGCATAGTTTTGTTTTCTGATGTAAGGGAATTTGTAAAATGTGGCTCATGCATGCATGAGGCAGTACTTGGGAGATAAATAACATAGAAAAAGAGAGTTGCTTTCTCACCCTGTGGTTCTTTTCATGGATTGACATGAAGTTTGAGGTTGCAGGGAGGGACCTCTGGGACCACCTGCTCCAATCCCTGCCCTAGCAAGGAAGCCCACAGCAGAGCTCCCAGGCCCACATCCAGGCAGCTTTTGGAAATCTCCAAGGAAGAGTCTCCATAGCCTGGTGGCAGCTTGCACTGGTGCTCTGACACCTGTGCAGTAAGGAATTGTTCTCATCTACAAAAATGTGCAAAGGAGAGCAGGAAAAGAGTAGACAAAGCTACCCATGGCTGTGGGGAGGATCTCACAGCATTTATCCCATCACATTGCCAGCAAAAGATTGGAGTTACTTTTCCAGCTTCTTGTCTGGCTGCAGTGCTGTACTCTCAGATCTGCCATGGGAACTCACTCAAAGTGACTCCATAGAAAAGTCATTTCTGGCGTTGTGTTTTCCTCATAGCAGCACGCCTCTGAGAATGGTCCCTGGATGTGCAGCACGGACAGATGTGCCTGGAAATGGTGATCTGCCTGTATCTCTGTGCTGTCTGTGTTACCTGTATGTTGCATCAGGAGGTTAAGGTCTGAAGGATGATCGTGAGTCTTAACTGAAACTGTAGTTGTGTGGTTTGTGGGTGAGATTCCCTTTAAAACTGTGTAAGCTGTAAAGGGTTTTTAAAAAGAAAAGGTCCAGCCAGAGTGGGCAGAACCAGTAGAGATTTATAATGCAATGATTTTTTCTCATTTCCCTTTGTCCCTGTGTTCAAATTTTTCCTTCGACCATGAATGTCAAACAAGAGGAATGAGAGCACTTCAGAGGTATAACCAGCATTGCTTGAAGAATTCCTTCACCTTATATTTGCTGAGCTGAAAAACTGCTGACTTTCCATCACAGGCCTCCCAGGTCTTCCAGTCTGTTTTAGAAATTAATACAAAGCTCAGGGAAGAATGAGGGTCTGGAGGATATAAAGCAAGCTGTGGAAAAATGGGAGTGTGGTGGGAGCTATACAGTGAATGCATATTGCCTATATTTGGAAAGTGGAGTGTGTGCACTTCCAACAGCTGTGAGCAATAACATTACAGGGGAAAAAACGACCTAATGGGTTCCTGCATGCAACTGCTCTGCATTTTTGAGCAGCCGGGGTATGAAATCTAAGAGCTCCCAGATTTCACTCACAATCTATGGGCCAGCTGGATGTATGTGGAACTCTGGAGCACCAACGGCACACGGCTACATGCTGTCAAAAGCAGCCAGAACCTCCATGAGTCACTATCTAAACTGTCCCTTGCCTCTTGAACAGGAGTCTCACCAGCACTTTTTGTGCTGAGCCCATTCTCAAATCTGCACTTAGTGAATTTTGGGAAAACTTTGGTCACTTTTTCCTCCTCCTTCTTAGAAATCAGGTTTTCAGCTCTCACCGTGACCTGCCACACTCTAAATACTCAGGAAAAGAAACACTGGTGAGAAAAATAGCAGTGTATGTTGGGAGAATGTCAATCTGTCAATAAGAGGTGCAGCTAACGAGGCCAGGTCCATGCTGATCTCGTGACACCTATTGTGCTTGAGATGACTTTGAGCACAGGGATGACACACAACATTAGCAACCCCAAACCTCTGAGCAGCCAAATGCTAGTTACAGAAGAATCTCTTTGGGAAAAAAAAAGAAAAAGAAATAACATCCCATTTAGCAGATTACCAGCTGAAAAAATGTCAGCAACATGCTTTCCAACTCCCTCATAAATTATTTTAAAATGTGAGTAATGCTTTTTGAATAGGACCTGCATGATGCTAAAGATCTGTCTGGGAACAAACATGAGAATCTTCTGCCTGCGAACTCACACAGTGAGTTTATCTTATCTGATAAAATGTAGAGGAATCTTCTGTTGCTGAGGGTATTGCAGTGAGCTGTGTGCTCAAAGTGAGAAATAAGTCAGCCTTATTTCTTAGTTCTGCTTGAAGTTTCCAGAGCACCTTATTCACCACAACTGTCCCAAACACTGATGGCAATGGGTCATCCTTGTGATCAGAGCTAAGCTCCATCTCCAGGCCTGGAGCAGAAGGAGCAGCCCAGCATCAGGCTATGGGGTTATATTTGGCCACTGGAATACCACGGGCTACCCATGAAGCAGACAGGAGGTGGCTCACAGTCTGTATTCAGCTCAAGGAGTGCCTGCTGCACCATGTGCCCTGTCCTCTCTTCCTGCCCTTTTCATTCCTGTTGCTCTCTGTCAGGAATAGAAACATCCTCCTTGCTGTCCTTGTGCTGCAACATGCCCAAGGCAGTGAAAATGTATGGATACATGTGCATTAGAAAAACTAGGGTTTTATACATAATTGTGTGCAAATGTATGACTTCAAATTGGAAGGTGTTTTTGTGAAGGAAAAGAATAAGCCCTAGGGGAACACAATGAGTGAAAAGGGGGACATTTAGGGCAATCAGCACTGAGAGGAGATCTAGAGAAGAGAATTTTCTGTTTTCCTAATGAAACTATATACACTCAGGTACACACCTGTATTTTGGCAAAGCACTAGAGACAGGCAGATCTCTGTTTCATCTTCACTCCAGTTCCTTTCATTAGATGTACAAGACTTTAATGAAATGTAACCTAGAGAAAAAGATCTCTGTTGTGGCAGAACTGAAGCAAAATGACTTAAATCTTTTATGGCCTCCGTTTCTAAAAATGTAAATGACTAATAGAAATTGTAAAATATTCACAAAGTCAGTATTCCACATTTACAGATAATGCTGAATTACCCCAGAAGTAGTTCTTAAATGGGAATTTAATGGCTATCCTTGAACAGAATGAGCACGTTTCTCTGCAGCTCTCATCCTATAAGGAGAGGATCCAGGGAACCACCGAAAGCTAATGGGCTCATTAGCCTGTGCTTGGCTCTGTCACTACATGGTCCCAGATGCCACTGCGTGCTGCAGGGTTGGTCCTCCCCAACAGACCACACTGGCTGCTCTCTCCTAAGCTGTGGTAGACCCAGAAGTAATGACATTATCATTTTTTTGCTAGTTGTATTTTTACACACCCAACTTTTACATACACCACAGTGTCAAGACTAAGCCCTCCCCAGGGCACCTTGGGCTCTTCTTTAAAAATATTAACTTCTCCCTAGAAAGAAGGTGGGATTTCACATTCGTCCTGCCTCCAATTCTGAGCTGACCTCAAAGCCCAGATGGCCTTTGCTGTCCCCCAGTTAAGTAAGAAAAGGTGATGGAATTTGCCCAATCCGTCATGAATCAGGAAGCTGATATGCTCTCTTAGCAGTTCAGAAGATAAAATCAGAAATGTCAAGTGAGGCAGCACCAGCTTGACCTGGTGCTGAGAGACCCATGGGGGAATAAGTGCTCATAATGAATTGGTTCCTTCCCGAGGTCTTTGAGGAAGATGAGAGCAGACAGTGAAATCCAATACCGAGAAAAAGGCCACTTCATAAACACATCTTGGACTCAGGGAGAGTGTCCCAAAAGGATGAAAATTCCAGAAGTAAAAATGTTCAGAAATGTATTTCTTCAAATGCAGGCCTCTTTGCCAGCCATAGGCAGGAGCTGGTGAACAGCGAAGGCCCTGAAACTGCTCTGCTCCTACCTGGGCCCTGGAAGAATCATAGAACAGTAGAATCTTAGAATGATTTGGGTTGGAAGGGCCCTTCCAGACCACATGGTTCCAACCCCCCTGCTGTAGGCACGGTCATCTCCCACTAGACCAGGTTGCTTGAAGCCCCATCCAGTCTGGCCTTGAATGCTTCCAGGAAGAGGGCATCCACAGCCTCTCTGGACAACCTGTCCCAGTGTCTGACCATCCTCACAATAAAGAAAATTTCTTTCCAATATGTAGTCTAAATCTACTCTCTTCCGGTTCAAAACCGTTTCCCCTCATCCTGTCACTACATGCCCTTATCAAAAGTCCCTCTCCATCTTTCCCATACCCCTTCAGGTACTGGAAGAAGACAGCCAGGACTTGACTTTACTCTTGAATATCGTATGAATTCCATCTGTCAAAACTAGCACTTCCATTTTGGCCAGTTCCTTCTGCTCAGCAGTATCTCCCTATCTCTCAGTTTCACTGATCCAAACTGTTTCTACTGAATTCAAATGTAAAAGAAAATTTTACACTGGGACTCTAGCCTGTAGGAAATCCTGACTTTGTTTTTGCCTCTTCATACACCTGCATTTAGGATCAAAAAGCATTTATCCGGACCTCAAAAGCCTTGGATTTGATATCCAGATCTATCCGTGACCAGCTGTGTAGCTTTAGCAAGTCGTTTGACGTTGTTCAGCTTTCCACTTGCAAAACCCAGTACGGATGGAAAGCTGTGCACATGTTAGCTGTGACCTGAGAGCGGGTGTGCAGCCAGGGCTGCTCTATGCCAGCACCCGATAGGGAAGCAGCCAGGAATGCTGCTGGGGAATAGTGTCAGGAATATTGACTAAAATATAAAAGAAAGGACAAAGCCTTCCGCAGCAATAGCCTGGCTTCATCTGATGCGGCCTTCCCAAATCCTGGTAGGAACACAGGGCTTTACGAACTGCTCAAAATACTTTTTGAAGAGGTTTACAAATCTGCTTATCTTTCACATTGTTTTATTTTATGGTTTCTATGGTAGCCCATTAATCTGCAATGAGAACACACTCTAATTTGAAGACAGATGATGATACAGGGATAAAATGACCTTTCCTTTTCCTTCTGGGAGCCCATATATGCTCTTCACAAAGCACAGATTATTATGGTTTTGTTAGAAAGTTTCTTTTACCGCTCTTGGCTTCTACTTTCAGGATCACTTTCATCTGGTTTCCTTCATGGGCTGAGCAACACTTTCCCCTGGATTTTGTGCCTTCTCTTTACTTTGTTTTCTCACTGCACAGAGAAATGCATGAAGCTGAGGTGAACTTTCAGTTTATAGTATCTGAAGGGATTTGAATTTAGGTCAGACAAGTTCAGCTATTCCCATAGGATAATCCTGTTGCTGTACAGCACTGCTGGACATGCTGCAAATGCTACAGGCTCCTGTTGGAGATGATTCGTGTTTGCAGGTCTGGAAAGAGAACTGGGGACGTGTTAAATGGATTCAGTCCAAGCATAGGGAAACCAGCAGCCATCCCACTGCTGGGGGTTTCACTGTAGTCACAAACCCTTTAGGAAGGATGCCATGCTGGATTTCTCCACTTTCGTTGCAATAAATCTGGAAAAGACATTGCTGTAACAAAGCAGGCAGCTGGGTCTGAATGGCTGTCACCCCCCCCACAAGCCAAGGTCATTTGAAAAGTCTCCAGTGACAGATGGGCAAAAGCAGCTCTTCCTGCTTCAAAGGCACGGGATGCTGCCGTGGAGCCAGTTTTTTCTTCTGCAGGTCTTCTTGTCACCGAGCAGGAAGGAAAAGCTGCAAACAAAGGCAACTTCAGCGATTTTGGAACATGAAGAATAATGTCCTTCACTGCTGCCAAGGCAGGGCTCAGTGCAAAGAGCTGAACGGCACTGATTCCTACAGTCAAGGACTTATGCCCCTCTTGTTCCTTTGCAAGATAAGCTATTCCCAACTGGATATTAACTCTTCCTGCAAATGCAGTGTCAAAACAATGGCAGTACAATACCAAGGTCCAGCATTTTCCTTAAGAAACTGTGAAGCACCAAGGAGAGCTTCGTTGCAGAAGAAGCAACGCAGACATACAATGCAACGAGATGTGAACACTGATGGGAACAGCCCATGGCTTCGATGTTGGTCACAGATGCACAGGGCTGAGGACATAGGGCTGAGGCCACCTCAGGAGGTCCTGGTAAGTTCCAAATATTCTTTTAAGAAGGCATCTCCACTCTGCTTTGGTCATCCCTCTTTGTGGCTCACCCTCCCCAAGCCTGGACCATTTCTTTTCCCATGTCACCTATTCCACATGCTGGGTCTGGTAACACTGCCTGCAAGGACATAAGTTTCCAGCTCAGAATTATGATGAGAGTTAAAAAGAGCCCCCAGAAAAGTCTCAGGGGAGAGGGAGGCTGATGGAAGATTTGTCGCTGAAACGGATTATAGTAAACCAATAATTAATTAATCTTGGTCCTTGAGAGCCTTCTTCCCCCCCTACTCGTTTCTTCTTTTCCTCCTCCTCTTCTCCCCCACCTTCTGGGATTAGGAGTGTTTATGGGAGTTAAGGCAAGTCACAACTTGGTAAATCAGAAAGCCTTGTTCAGCAACTCAATTGCTTGTTTTTCCACTCTGGGACACATTAATGAGGTCAGGCAATGTTTCCTCTTGTGTCATTCCCAAAACATCCCAGCTTCTCTGAGAAAGGCAACGCTGATTATCATGATTAACTGATGCTCCTTGCAGGTATTTAGTCTTGGTGAAGCCAGAACTGGTTTCCCCATACTGGAATTAACTCCCTGGCCCTGTTGCTCCACGTGCTTTTATTCACACTTCACGGCAACATGTCAGCTGTTGCAGGTTCACTCCCATCATCTTGCAGTTGTGGTGGAATCAGGAATGCACAGAGAAGGTCACTGAAGGGTAACTTAAGTGCCATGGACCTGAACATGGAGACTTTGGCACAAAAGAGGGGAGGTAGGTACTGTTTTATTGAAAAAGTGGAAAACTAATAAAAATAAATGGAAATAAGTAAAGGAAATTGTTGCAGGCCTGCAGCTCCATGTTGTTCCTTTGGCAAGATATAAGTGAGGGTAGGTGTTTCACGAGGAGCAGAAATGTACAGCTCTCTCCCCAGTGAGGAGAGCTCTTTGAGCTCTGAAATCCATCAAAGAGCAGGAGTGTTAATCATTTTAGTTTTACAATTAAGCTAAAATACAATTTTAAAACTGCACAGTTCAACATATGCTGGCTGAGGAAATAGCACTGACAAAGCTGACACTGAATCTGCATTAAAATATTCCCTTTCTTCATGACTGGGTTATTACCTGACTGAATGTAGTAGGAGACTCAAGTTGGCTTTTTTCAACACAGTTCTGTTCTTGTATCTGTCAGTGAAAGCAGTGTCAGATAGGATGGTAAGATTCACCCACAGCGTTCTCTTCCTGGAGCTGCTATCTCTTGAGGACCACTCACAGGGCCTCATGGTGCACCCTAGGAGTAAGCCTGGGATACTATGGGGAATCCAAAGTCAACAAGAGCCCTTGGCCATGGCAAAGCCTTGAAGACAGTAGGATGCTTTCAGCCCCAAAAAATTATATGCCTGCTGGGCAGAGCTGGTTATTTGCTCACTTGCCCAGTGGGTGCACTTAAGGTCCAAGCAGAAGGAAGCTGGTCTTTTTCAGAACCTCAAACTTACATTAATACTTTTTGCCATTCCTACCCATAGTGGAAGGCTTGTACGCCTGGGATCTACATTTATGCCTCCAAACTCCACTGCTGTAGTAAAGAGCACCAAAAACTGGCATGTAGTTCAAAGCATTTGCTTTAATGCAATCTTGAGCATTCACAGATGTGGATTTTAAAGTATCCTAGTTTCAATAGTAGGTCACACCATGCTTGCAGATTTTATTAACTTGAATAAAACAAGATAAATCTCATTTAGCTTCTGCCATGTACCCACCATGAGAAATGTCAGCTGAACTGGGTTTAAGAATGAAAAAAAAAGAGAAGAAAAGTATTGTTAGCTCTAATTCAATGCACAGCAGTAAAGACCCCAAGATGTACGCCGTAGCTAGCAGGGAGGAGTGATACAGAGGCAGGGATGAATATCTCTGGAGAAAGAAGCAAAAAGAACAGAAAGAGGAACTTTGTAAGCTATTGCTTGTACAAGAAACAATTGAATTACAGTGAGATAATTACTTGGCTAATGAGGGCAGACAGGCAATTGCAATATTCCCAGGTTTTCCTTCCCTTTCCTGAAAATACTTAAAATAATTGAAAAACAAAGTGGCTATCTATAAATACAGGAAGACTACTCAGCTCCAAACAGTACAGCTAAGCACTGAGAGTGGAAACCATTATTTGCCGGGGATTTGGAAGCATTTAAAGGAGAAGCTTCCTTCAAGGAAGAGGCACTGCGTGCCACACAGGAGCTTCTTAGCAGCTTGCTGTTCAACACCAAGCTGCTTAAAAACCCTACCTGGAGATGCTGAGCCTTCTAATGAGGAGCTCAGTGGCTGTCAGATGGAGCACCTCAGTCATTTGTTTCCTGCCGGGGGCTAACTATCCTGTCGGCAGAGAAAAGGGCAGCTACCAGCACTGACATTTCAGGAGTCCCCATTAGGGCTGCAAGCATTATCACTGCCTTGTTTACTGCAGGGCAATGAGTTCTCCTGGTGTCAGAAGCACAGCGCGATTTTTTCCCTACTTGCATGATAACAGCCTCTGCTAACTGCAGCAGGATGGATGGCAGAGCAGCTGTCTTTGCCCAGAGCAGCTCGTGAGGCAATCTCAGCAAGATGAGGAGCTCCCACCGACAGCCAGCACTGTGCCAGCTCATTAAGTGCTATGGGAAAACATCTAATAACATGGGATGCTAGATGCTTGCTGGCTTTTTTTAAGCATCGGGTTTTCCAGCTCAGCCCAAGCCATCTCTAATCAGTGTAGCTTTTAAGCTTCAGCTGTCAACTGCTTGCGAGCAGTTTCTGAGAGCAAAGCTAGGAACAGTTTGCAGAAGATTTTTAGTACAAATCAGGCAGAAACCAGGAGGAGGTAAATGTCTCATTTTGTTTTGGTTGTCTCATGGCTGCGTAGGCGCTGCTTTGCTGAGACAGAGAACAGTGTGCCTGGCACCAGAGTTTTGTAGCCCTGTGTGGCCACAGAGGTTCATCTCCCTGACAGAGCTGTCCATGAGATGAAATGAGGCTGCACGTTATTGATTCCCACAGTGAGGGCAACACAAGTCAGGGAGGTGGGAAGCACTATGGAAAAGTTCCTATTAGAGCACATTGAATAATGATGACATTCAGAATACCTCTTGTTCGCTTCGGATATTGCTTGGCTCAGCGAAGATAAGTGAAGATGGTAGACTTCATAGCTTCTCCTTTGGTGACAAGGTAAATAGGTGACTGCAACCCACTGTGCTGATATCTGATGCCCCATGAGACTGCATTGCTGAGTACGGTCAGGACTGCAGGTGGAACCATAAGAAAGATCATGGAATATAAGAATGAGTATGGAGTACAGTTGCCTACGGCACTAGCTTATCCAAAAGGTGAACATTTAGATCAGAAAGTTCTTCCTCTTTTACTTTTTTTCCCTCTTCTCCATATATTGAACATGCTTTCTGTCTAGAACTGGATTCTGGGAAGCTGCATGGAGCATCACTGCAGTCCTTGGCTCTGATTCTGTGCCAGCCTTACAGTGAGGCAGCATTAGGGAGATTGGTACTGGCTTACCAGACAGAAGACCATGGCCTTCTAGTTTCCCCTGGTTAGGCAGGCTTTTTCCATGCCATGTTGCTTTGCAGAACCCTGTATTTCACCCTCTCCTACAACGAAGTCCCTAGCTTTGTGAAGATAATGTCACAACAGAGGCTCATTGCACCTATTGTCCAATTATGTCAGTCTGTAACAACAGCTCCAAGTGAACAAAAATAGCTTTGACAGAATGAATTATAGTGCTCTGTTTTATGACTAATTACAGTGCCTTGGTGAGATAACTTAAAAGCTGTCACAGTTGAGACTACATGACACCTTAGCTGACAGAGATGAAACTAGGAGTCAGGGGTATCTCAGCTCTTTGCCTGCATGTGTTTCCAAAACAGGCTTTGCCAAATGCCCCTCCTGCCCTGCAATCTAAACTTGGAAGAGATTTAGCATTTTCCTATTTTCCCTGCTCTATCATGGCCAATTATCTATTTATTTTAATCTATATGTCTGACAGTTCTTACTGCTCTTCATAGCTGTGGCTTAGATCATTTCTTCTAGAGGACGCTGCCAGTAACTGTTGCATGCATTGCTGGGCTTAAAAGATGAAAGAGAACTTGCTGCAGCAAAAAAAACCCCACATCATAATTGTGCACATAGGACCACAAAGCCAGTAAAGCCACTGAAAGTAAGCACATGCTGCAAGATAAGCAGATGTTTAAAAGCATTATTGCATGGAGAGTTATGTCCCATCTAGGACAAAGTCTTTCAGTTTAGCTGGATGCACTCTGTGATCTAGAGTGACTTCATAGATGGAGAAGGGGAGGATGCTGTATGGAAGACCCCTCTGTGTGGAAGAAATACACTGGATTTCTCCTCATGTGGATTGTTTTCCTTCAGGCTCTGCAGCATGGCTATGTGTGAGCAGCATACTGCATGAACAAACATAGCTGAAGCTGTTGGTTGCTTGGTTCCCCTTCGTCATGGGGCTATAGGGTGCCAACTTCCAGGGAGGTATTCCTATTTTAATTGCCTTTGCATTAGTCAGTCGTTTATCACACAGCAGGACACCATTATCCAGTGCCTGCTCTCAATTCTGTTGCGTCACCTCATCTAAAATTAAACTCCAAAATAAAAAGAATATTATCCTATTTGTTAAGAAGCAAATACTGAATAGAGGTTTTAGCTGAAGAGTTTGATGCTACAATTCGCTCTGACATAGTGAAGGATTAAAAAAGTTACTAAGAAGCCTTCTCATAGCTAAGCTTTTATCTGAGAAGCCTTACGGTATATAGCTTTATCTTGTTAATATATTAATCCAAGAGTCAGGTGGTGAAGATTTCATGGTTTGGAAATAAAATTGTGAGCAATTATTCAAACACAATACATGCCCATGTCAAAAGCTATTGCAGTAATGTTTTGTTTTCATGTCCATGCAGAAATTCCAATTTGTGGATATTGCTTTGAAAAATCCGAGAGCAAGCAGGGGAGGGTGGTGAAGGAGAAAATATTTCCTTTGATGCACACAGAATAAATGCAGTGTCTGGATGATGTATCTCAAAACAAATAGTTCTCAACATTTTCTCTACTGTCTGGCTTGACGTTACAGCATCTTCTGCACATAACATATGCAATGGAGTAGTTCCAGGGCTAAGGGAAAAGCCTGAGACATTTCAGGCTCTGTGTCCAGGCACTTCATTTTATTCTCAGTTTTCAGTTTGAAAAAGAAGCTAATGACACTCCCAGCTGTAACTAAGGTGCTACAGAGAAAGACTTCTGTAATGATTCTAGGTGCTTTGATTAGAAAGAAATGGTGGTGGTGGTGGGGACCCCAGCAGATGATGCCCAATCCTACACTGTTGTTTTACTGTGGCTCACATCTGCTCCTTTGAATAGTATAGCAGTGCAAGAACCTGCGTTTTGTTCCATGACCCAGGATCATCAGTTTTTATAGAAATACCTGCATTTTTATCTTTCCAAAGGATTTGCTTCCTGCACATCCTCTCCTGGAAGCACAGGGGATGTATGCAGTGGGTATGAATCTTGCTTTTGGGAAAAAATAAGAGGAGATGGCATGCTTTCTGTAAACAACAGAGACCTCTCTGGCCCTTACCAGAGATCCATCTTCCTCTGCTCCATATGCCTCAGTCCTCTGGTCACTGCTCTGCTCTGCAATCAGTCCTTCCTGGGCTTTCTGCGCAGAGAGAAGGCTCATGAAAACTATAAACTCCTCAGCCCCACGCAGAAAAAACATTTATTCTCAAATCTTCCAGGCCCTTTAGTTTCCTTAATATCCATTACCATCAAATAATTTCTTAAGTGAAGTAACCGAAAACCTGAAATCTCTCCAGCATAGAAACGCTGCAATACTCAGCAGTAATTCTAATGCCTGAAGTGTCACTACAGAAGCAATGGGCTGAGTGCTGCAGTGAAGAGACAAAGGTTGGAGTGTTTAGAGTCTTAATGTGTTTTTCTATGTGCAAGTTCCCAAAGTTACAGCAAGATATCTCTGGACCAGCATTTCCCAAGGAACACTGAGTCTTCTACAGGATGTTCTAGGGCTGCATTGATTTCTGGTGGCTTACAGAGTGCATTTGGTAGAGCTTGCACTTTGTAGATAACTTCACTCAGATTTGAGAGTAGAATAATAATAATAACTGCTAGGTGGCTTGAAGAACCAAGGTGCCAAGCACACACAGCTTCTCTGAGAAGAGAAGGCATGATGAAAGCTGCTACACCAGGCCTGAATCTGTCCTCCACACAAAATCCTGTAGCTCCTGCTCAGGTGGGTGCTAAGGGTAAATGGAGAGTGTCTGACAGTTCTGAGACCTCAGAAAAACAAATTACTTCCATTGCAATTTTCATTGTCAAATAACATTCCAAAGACCAAAAGCAACTGGAAAGAGCAGTTCAGTTTGATTCACCTCGGCTTGTTAAGAAAGCTGGTGGTGGGGCATTTAGGATGGAAGGCACTAGATTTTTGTTTACTGCACGGCAAGAAAAGTGGAAACGGTTCTTCATCAGGAATCCAAGTCAGGCATTTAAATGTGCGTGCTTCAGATCTGTCTGAGTTCTGAAATTCTTTTTTCTCAGCATTTTCCTGACATTTTTAGGCGTTAAATGTTAATGTAATTAAATGCTAATGTGACTTCAGCCTCTAACAAACACAGCATGCATTTTTCATGCTCAGAAAGCCTCACAGAAGTGTGGGAGTTTACTTCTTTTCCTTCAGCTTCTCAAGTTTTAGAATGTCTGTTTGCAAAAGGAACCAGTCCATGGGTACCTGCCTGTAATGCAGATAGGAAAATGCAGAAGAGCACTGTTATGGAACAAATGGTGGACACTTTAAAGCTGAAAACCTGTCCAGAGGGATGTATTGTATCACAAGGATATCCTATCAATGCAATTAGTCCTAATTTAATTATTTAATACAGATGCTACCAAGCGTAGTAACTGCAAGCTAGGAAGAATTCAGTTTCATCCAGTGTGGAGCAGAATTTTAATGTAATTTTAGTGTTTGAGTGTTTCTTCTGTTTTAGTGTTTAGCTTTAGTGTTTCTTCTGAGTGATGGCAGATGCTCTTCACTGTGGGAATGGAGATTTACTTGTCTTACATTTCTTTATACTCCGTGCTTCTGAATGGCAAAAATGTCCATCTCCTGAAGCAGAAGCAATAGTCACTTCTTGTGTTAATGTAATATACTGTGCAATGACTGTGAGCCCACCACAGTATCTGTGTTCTGTCCTTAAAGTAAGGACAAAAGTAAGTTAAGGGAAAACATTCTTGTTGTCAGGGATAGTATTTCTTACAAAACAGATGACTGCAGATAAATCCTACTAAAATCATTTGGACTCTTAAGCACACACATCCCTTCCCATAGCAATCATAACAATAAAATAACATCAATAACAAAGCCAACAAAAGCAAAACCAACCAACCAAACAAACAAACAAAAAGCCCTCAATTTTTTTGCAAAAGAAATATTTTATTGTTTCAACTTGCTGCATTTAAAGCTCGCTCTTTGCATTAGAAAATAAGATTCCATCCACAAGAATAATAATTCTTCTGTGTTTTTTTGTTTCTACTGTTCTGAATTGATCAAACTTCTCCCTGTTTGGCAAAAAATAAAATAAAATAGCCAGTCAATCAATCTCTCTGTGATTAACCCCATGAATCATGCAGAATATAAACTCTGATGTTGCAGGCAGAAGGATCAAATCCTCTCCTTGTCTAGGGGCTCTCTCTGCTGTTCCATCTCCAAAGAGCTTTGACTCAGATTTTGTAGATTTACCTGTGTGCTACTGACAGACCACTGTCTTGATTTCTGCAGAACCAGAAAGAAAGGGAAAAAAACCAAAAGATCCCACCTCACTTATCTGAGAGCAGACAGAAGACAAATAGGAATTTTTTACTTTTTTATTTTTAGATTATCTATTTTCTTCAACTATCAAAAATAGACAAGTGGAAGATAGTCAACCAGCTTAAAGTGGGATAGTAATCCCCACAGATCTGCCAAGGGAAATGAAACTACCAGCTCTACTCCACCCAGTCCTTTATTGGCTTCTCACAGCAGGGCTGGCTTCAGCTCACTAAGAGCTGTACCAAGGCAACAAGTCCAAGATCACCATCTAACAAACTGTAGAATAACTCAGGGAGATCACATAGAATCCCAGTTAAAGCAAAGACATCCTTCAGCAAGATGACCATGAGCAGTTGAGGAGTGCTGAGAGAAACCCCTGTTCCATCATCTGATGCTTCTTCTCTCTCATCCCTTTCAGCCATTCCTGCTCATTTGCTGTCACTCATACGTCCAAGAGACAAGGAGCTGTAAAGAACACAGGAATAAAGAGCAGGAGTGGATGTCAAGAGAAAGGCAAGTAGGTGGCACGGAGGATGGGAAGCAAAGAAAAAAATGCCTGGGTAACGTGGTACTAGATCTTAAATGCTGCTCAGTAGGCCTGAATTGGATCCTTTTGTGACACCATCATATAACACATGGATTTGTAAATGGAAGCCATGGGCAATTTAGGAGACAGCGTGAAGAGAGCTGCATGTCTTATCTGTGAACAGCTTCCGTGTTTAATCCAAAGACTGAAATATGTAAGCATTATCTGGTCCTACAAAATGACTCAGAAAGGTGAGGTGAATCCCTTTTCAGATGCTTTTTATTTTAATAGATGGTTCCCTTAACAGCTTAGATTAGTCAAATATTCAAGATTTTCAAGCTTGAAAGAAAAAAATCCTTAAAAGACCTTTGTTGTTGTTGTTGTTGTTTTGTTTGCTTTTTTTTTTTAACAGTGATCTTGGCACAACGGTTTGCCTTTGCTGTCTGACACTTTCAGCAAGAGGTAAATTACATAGACTATAGAGTAAATTTTGTTGAGATATGCCTTTTTCTTAAGAATTTTTTTAAGGTTTAATTCAACATTCAAATTGAGATTACAGTTAACTTCTTTTGAATGTTCCATGCAATTTTGTTGGACAGTTTAATTTAAAAACGTGTGTTAAAGAATGTACTGGGAAATTCCCAGAGAATGGGAGAGACTCCTATGTTGGTCTTTATGGAAGTGGCCACTGTTCTGTTGCAGCTGTTTAGTTGTTTTCTCACCTTTTGTTTGATTTAAGGTAAGATCAGTTCTTGTCCTGCCTTTTTGTTTCCATGTACCAAGCCTGATCTGATTTCCTTGGAATCTAACTTTTCCTGAAATGCAAAGGGAAGAATGCACCTGGTGCTACTGAGGAACTTGCAGACACTTGAAGGAACTCGTCTCTGAGTTTTCACCTAGGTCTTAATACCCTTCAGTAAGCTGGAAAATGGCTGCCTATCTCAACCATGCCCCGTGAAGGCCGTGTGCTGATACCTTTCATGTTGGGCAGCCTGCAGCTCTCCAGCTATGCACTCATTCTAGACGAAGTTGGACTCAGTGAGGGCAATGCAGATGGCACATCCTCATACACAGCATGCAATGGCAGGCTTGGGTCAAAAGACCTCATGGAACTGAGTCAATAACCATCAGGAACCTGCAGGCCTCTGCTGACACAAAATCTCCGTAGTGAAGTTCTCCAAAATTACTGGAGACCATACTGAGTTGTCTTTTAACCTGCCTGTCTAAGAGCTTACTATCCTGCATTATTAGGAGTAATGCCTGTAAACAGTGACGTGCAGTGGAAAAAGCTGCAGGAAATAAAAGAGCAAGTGATACCTGGGTTCGCTGAGAATCAGACTCCCCACTCTGAGCAGCATGAAAGCTGTACTGCATCTAGCAGCAACTGTGTGCTTAGTTTGGGTGACTCATACCTGGTTGATCTAACAGTGCGATAGGTAAATCTCATCCAGTCCAAGTCATCAACTGGCACCACTGGGATGGAACCTTAGTCACCTTAAGCACAGTCACTCTCCCAACCATTTCCCTGAGCTTATTATCCTTACTGAGTGTCCAATCTTCCTCCTGTCCTATCCTAGGAGTCATGCATCCCCTGAGGTCACCGGGAAGGTGACAGGGTAGGAACACTCGACACCTTGCAGCATCAGGAGGCAGGAACTCCTGAATCATGGGAAGAGCACCCCGTGCACATAACTATCTGCAACTGTAAGTTAAAGGCAGACGTGCTCCATGACTAACAGGGGAAGAATGTGGCCAGTGTACCAGGTGGCAAGGGTGTGTGTGTGACATGGCTTTCTGCAGGGTGAAATCAGAATTAATCAACTGCGTGCTCTGGGACACCTGGGAGAAACATTTAAAGCTAGTTTCACATTATGTAGTGAGACTGTTTTTAAAGCAAGAGGTTCTCAGAGCCATTCCTGATCCACAGCAAAGTCTGAGAATCTGTCCAAGGAAAAACCTAATTCCCATAACGTTCAGCATAATGTGTAGAAATCACAGTTATCTTATATCTGCTGTGTGGTTTTTATATTGACCCATGCTTAAGAATGTACCAGGTGAGTAGGAATGAATGTCCTGCATTATGCCAGCAACAGAAGCACCCCACACAAAAGCTAGTGTACGATGGCAATGGTGACTTTTTTCACGGCTCTTCAAACTTTGGAAAAAACTGTCTGAAGTAGACAATTCTTGGCTAGGAAAAGGGTTGGAGTTGTGGATGTAAACTCTCTGGTAGTGTCATGCACTATAGAAAGAATGCTGTGATGTCCTATGTAATTTAAGCCCTTATTTAGTCAGCAAACTCCTCACCTCAGGCTACATTCATGAAGTTTTGTTCATGTTCAACAGCACTTCTCAGTCCCTGTGATCCCAGTTAAGCTGTTCACCAGAGAATACATTACTGGGCATAAGCAAGGACTAGGATCTGGGCTTAAAGAAGCAAGATCTTCTGGGCTGTGATTTGTTTTGGGGGAGCTGCATGTTTTTTGTGACTGATACAGTATCTGGCAGCTAGTTACAATTCACCAGTTCTCTGGCATGGTGGCTCTAAGCATCATATTTTTGGTGGTAATTATGTCATTGCATAGCTATCTTCCTAATCATGTCAGCAGACTTAATGAGATCAGCTAGAAACAGCCTTTGTTCTCTACCCAGTAGGATACACTGATGATTCCTGTTTACACTGTGAGCCTCTCCTGCTGCATCTGTGGATATAGATATCGTGGACTGTTCTTCTGTAGGCCTCTACCAAAGCTCATCTTGTCAGTTCCAGAACATCCGTCTCACCTGTGAAAACTACTTTGAGCCTTGACCCCACCTGCTTCAGTTCCTGCAGGCTCTGCGACTCGGTGCCACCTGCAACCTTTGTAAGTACACTTTCTTTCATTGCCCTGTCATTTTCTGTCCTGTCCCTCAAGTCAGTTGACCTATCAAAGAATATAGTGAGGCTTGTGAAGCCACCCTGATGGTTTTTTTTTAATTTAAATCTAATGGTCTTCCATGTACTTAAAAGGATTGTTTATGCCAGAGTCTTTCTGTGGTTAATAGGTTTAATAGGCCCTTTATTTCCTGATCAGTACTGTCCAGCTCCAGGTGCTTGGGGACCTGCTTGTCCTGGTAACTCAGTATTGCTCAGCTTGGTTCCACATGCACTCTGCCACCAATTCCATCAGATGCTCCTGACCTGAGCACTTCTGACTTCTCTAAGCAGCCATCCTATAGGAGCTGATTCTAGAGGAACACCTCTATATAATTTTTTATGTCTACATTTGAACAAGACTGACTTTCAGATGGAATACTGTACCAGTTAATTCTATTGACAGCATGGGTTCACAGACATAACTCAGCACAGCACCATCTCGAATAATTCCTCTGTCTCTATGGGAATCAGATCAAACACAGAAGACATTGTAATGATCACACAGCTAGGTGTCGCTTGTCTGAAAGGCTCCCCAGAGAAGTTCAAAGTCTGCTGGGAGGGGCTGAAGTCATGAAACCATTTTAATTGTTGGTGCAGAACTTGAAAAGTGAGAGACTTTCTCAACAGAGATTTTCTCAAGGGAGCTGTGCAGAGAATGGAAAAAACTCATGTTAGCAAGATGCTATGTTTTGCATGAAAACTCTTACACAATGTATTTTCTGTTTCATAAACAAATGACCTGGTGCTGAGCAGAGCTATGGATTTGCACTGGGCTTTGCCCTCTACAGATCTCATCTGAGACTCTAGGGCTAAGGAAAAAAATAATTTTACTTTGTGGGCTTTTTGTTTTCTGTATTGTTTGCTTCTTAACAAACAGAAGTTTACACACGTAGAGATAGAGGAAGGAAACAAGTCTTAGCACAATCAAACAACTTGGAGACCTGACTGCTCCTTGCATATAAGGAAAATAAGGATAACCGTGTCCAAGTTTTGACTCTGTGAATAGTTTCAGGATCTAAAGAACAACTAGAAAGAGATGTAGAGACTGAGTTGGTTTTATACTAAAAAACCTCACCTACCAACGGAAAAAACCCAACACCCCAAATAGCAGAAGTTAATCAGAATTGCATTGGCTGCTACAATTGCTGCAGAACCACTTTCAGTTAAGGAGCTGCTTGTATGAGTTGACGGACTAGTGCTCTTGAATCTCTTTGAAAAGACAAAACTGAACATAAAATGGATTTTGTTAAACATAGTTTAAAAATTTGTTAGCAAGGAAACTACTGGTAATGTTTTAAGCCTTCATTTAGTAGAAGGCAATCAAGTACCTACAGGCAATGAATAAATAATACATGATGCAAAACAATTTCTTCAGTGAAATAACAAAACGATTGGGAGATAAGCTTCAATTTTTATCATTACTTCTGGCACTAAATATGCTTAGCTCTTGAGATGCATACAATCTCGCCCAAATTTTTTTCATGAAAATCCATTCTGGGAGGAACCACTGAAACCTTGCCCAGGGTGACAACAGAGATACCAAGCTCGCAACTCAGTAATTTTGACTCTTTCCCCTGCCATAATCACAACAGGGTGATTTATGGACACTCTTACAAGAGATCTGCCCTACCGAGCCTCAAAGAAAACACTAGTTGTGATACAGGCCCATTGTATCCCTTGCTGGGGAATTTTAGGAGATGTCACTCCTGGAAGCCCAGAGCAAGCCAGCTTCTGTGCACATGACCTTGGTGATTTGGCCTGGGGTAAAGGAAGGCCTACATTTTGAATTCCTTTCTGGTCCTGTGACTCAGGGAATATTCAAGTAATTAGCAGCGTTGCTTCAGATTTGGGGGATTGAGAGCCAAATTCCACTGCTGTCTAAGGAAAATGAAAATCATATCTCCTAGCTCGCAGGAGAACCTCTCTAAGTGTCCTTCTCTTGCTTCCCTCCAGGATGAGCTGCTCCACCGTGCACCAATGAAAGAAAATAGTGGGCCAGTGGTTAAGAGCTCCTGTGGGAGGGAGATATCTGGGTTTCAGACCCAACAGCTACCAAAAGGAAGGCCTAACTAAGGCATAAAGATGAGTCACTTCTGCTCACCCTTTTGGTGTAGTATTTCTGGAGGATGTGACACTCGTAACTTGGCAACACAGCATCCATGACATCACTTAATCTTTTTGCAACATTTGGCAGCCATGTAAAATGCCTTACAAGAAAAAGAGCTCACACCACAGACATTGCACTCATAAAAAAGCAACAGTCATGTGGCTATGGCTATGTTCTCTGCTACTCTACTTGTCATCCCTTCCCCAGGGATTTTATTGGAACATGGGCTTATTTCAAGCAAATTTGATAGAGAGGCCAAATGCCTCAAAATACCAAGTTCCTACAGTTGCTACAAAAATTAATGGCCAAGTAGAACAGAGACATCTGAGATAGCAACGCCATAAAAAGACTGATGTATATTCAATATTAATATTTTACATCAGAAAATAAACAGAGGAAAGAGCCATCAGAAATCAGACTTCCGAAGTTCCATTGCTCACGAAATTGCTAACTCTTACTTGTTATTACTTGTCTTAGTAACACTGCCTTCTGCCTCAGGCTCCTGTTACAAATGTTTCTGAGGATATTCTCTCAGAAGGAAACCAGTTATTT